TTCAAAGCCACCAGTGCCTCCAAGGGAAAAAGCTGAGACTGTCTGGTTCCATAAAGATGTACATAGTGGAAACTCTAAGAATCAGGGCAACTCTGTCCTCTATAAAATTTCTATGATCCAGTATGAACTGGATGACAGTGCGCTTGTTTGGTTGATAAATTGGAATCAATTTGATTATAGTAGATTTAATAAGGATCCTGGTGGTGTAGTGGATTGCATGTTGGACTGCTAACTACAAGGTCAATAGTTCAAACCTACCATCTGCTCCAAGAGAAAAAGATCAGACTTCTGATCCTGCAAAGATGTGTACCCTCAAAAAGTCCAAGGGGGCAGTTCTACTCTGCCCTGTAAGCTCACTGTGAGCGGGAATCTATTCACGGCAATGGGTTTGTGTTGTTGTTTCCTGTAAGGTCTGTGATTCAAACCTATCGGAGGCGCTACAGGAGAAAGAGCGTCTTTCTGCGCCCTTAAAGGTTTACGGCCTCAGAAACCCTTCACAGGCCTGTAGTGCTTTGAGTCAGCAAAGACCCAATGATGGTGTGGTGGAGGAATAGAAGTAGGAAGGGACAAGAAAGGATCTTTCTCTAGAGTCAAGAGAACACGATTCCAGAAATCCCCTGATTTCATATTTCTAGTCTTTAGAACTGTGAGACAATAAAAGTCTGTTATTTAAAACCACCCCATTTGTGGTGTTTTGTGAAATCAGTCTGAAGAAACCAAGGCAATGCCTCACTTACCCCTGAGGACACCATTGAACTTCAATGTTCAGAATCGTCGCCGAAGTTCATCTTGATGAGCCCTTGTCATCAGAAAACTCTAAAAGGAAGTTCTCATCTAGCTAACTACAGGGGAACTAACTCTCTGTTTGCCTGACTGGGGCCTTTCTCACAACGAGGAACTGTGGCTCCCAAAGCAAGGCATATGCCAGGCCAACCGGGAGGACTGGAGAGCCAATGTCAAAGACACAAATACGGGACAACGGGACATTTTAGACAAGATTTCACTCCCAGAAAAATCAAACATTTTCTACAAGGCTTTGACATTTGTAAGGGGTGAACTTTAATTACTCATAAAATTCACTTGTGTGGAGTAACTCAACTGCTGCCCATCAGATAAAATTGATGTTGCAATAGCCCCCCCCCACCCCCAACCTCGGAAACCTCTTTGAATTTGCAGCACCTGTGAGTGCTGTGGGTCAGGCATCGTGTGTCCGTGTCTGAATCACAGCCCAGCGCCTTCTCCCTGGGCTCAGCAGGATTGAAACTGAGCCCTTCCAGCAGGGAGCAACCATACAAATGTGATTACTTCGTTTTCTTGTTTGAGGCCACGTTACCACTATCTGAATGCAGGAGCCCAACTGAGAGTTCTGAAGGATCTCATACTTCGTTTGAAAATTGTGAGTGACGTTGAAGTCATACAGGTCTGCAGCCAGATAGAATCTTGGCTCTGGCCACAGAAGGT